GGATGTGCAGCTATGACATACAACTATCTACTGGGGCTTTGAGGGGAAAAATAAATAAATAAAATCTTTAAAAAAAAAAAAAAATGCACACCTGAAATTTACACAATGTTATAAGCCACTATGACCTCAACAAAATAATTTTAAAAAATAAGGTTGTCTGTCTGGGTCACACAGTCAGAAAACAGAGGAACTAGGATTTAAACTCAATTTTGTCTAAATGTAGTGACTGAATCTTCACTATATCTCACATAATAATTCGATGTGGGTTCCCAGTTACTCCAGAAAACCATATCCAAATACCTTAGCATTTTAAAATGTTTTAAAATATAAGGAGGAAACTCAGTAGGTGAACTGAGTACCTTGTGCTGATTTTAAAGAGACTAGAGATTGGGGAAAACACCTTTATATAGACTCAAAACTCTTGGTACGGTTCAGTTATTTTTGATACGTGTTATGGGGTAAGTCAGGTTCAATTTTGCTAAATAAAATGTAGGAATGTGGAGAACTAATTTTCACATTCTCTGAACTCTCTTCATACTATCTCAAACACAAAACACCATTAAACCCAAATAACAATTTATAGTATGCCATTTTTACAAATAAGGTACATTTTTAATGATTTTTAAAAGTAGGCAAAGCTACTTGCTAAACCAAACGTTTCATTACTAGTTGGAAGGACTTAAATATTACCATTTAATATTATTAATTTTTAAACTTGAAATCTTATACAGGAAAGGAAACACTTCCAAAATAACACCAAAAGACATGTCTTTTTTAAAGCCTTTAATTAAAAAAAAAAAAAAAAGGAAAACAGGAGAGGGCATTTAAAAAGACAAGACAGTAATTAAATCATAATACTTATGTTCCTTTTAATTTGCTGTAATAATTCCCTTTCTTTGGAGTATTCTTTTTTATGCTCATTTCTTCCCAAAGAAAAATTACTAAAAAATTTTTTCAACATAAGAAATGCATTCAGGGTCTCCTTGGGAGCTATAAACAATGGGTGCACTTCTCAATGACAACGCAAACATGTAAAACTGATGAAGCAGAAATTGCACCTGATTCTCACACGTTCCTGCGTATGGTGATACAAACACAAGTACTTTATTTTGAAGACTCAAGAGAATATTTCCAGTTTTGACCTGTGAAGAACAAAAACTAGGATAAATTTCTCTATCTGTTTGCCAAAGGAATCTTATCAGCTTTAGATACCAGCCCTGCAATTGTGAAATGGTTTGACCTAAGGTTTCACTATCTATAATTCTTCAGTTCACGCACAATGAATCCTGGCTCCTTCTTTAAAAAGCATGTGGTGTGTGTGTGTGTTTCTATGCGTGTGTTGTGGGTTTTTTTTTATTTTTGGAAAATTCTTATCATAAAGATTCGATCTAAGGATTAGAACTTAGTTCTGCCTGCACAGGGATTCTCAAATTCTGTCATTCTGCCACTAACACCAAGCCTCTTCGTAGCACTCAGAAACTAACATCAAAGACAGGAGGGGAAAGGCAAAAATGAAAAAGAGGAAGATGAAAAAGTAGGAGAGAAACAGAAAAATATAAGAAAGCTTGCTTACCATACAATTAAAAGATATAATGATTTGTACTCCCATGGAATTAAACATTTCTGAATTCAGTCATGAAATCATGTTCTTTTTGGTTTATCCAACACATGCAATTTATCTTTTTTTTTTTTTAGGAAGATTGGCCCTCAGCTAACATCTGTTGACAATCTTCCTCTTTTTTTCCTTTTTTCTCCCCAAAGCCCCAGTAGATAATTGTATGTCATAGTTGTACATCCTTCTAGTTGCTCTATGTGGGACGCCACCTCAGCATGGCTTGATAAACGGTGCATAGGTCCGCGCCCAGTATCGGATCCAGCAAACCCCAGGCTGTCAAAGCAGAGTGTGCAAACTTAACTGCTGAGCCACTGGGCCGGCCCCTCAATTTATCTTTTTTGTATAAAATCAGGCAATATTTATACATAAACCTAAATTTGTATAAATGTTGTCCTGTCTTTAGGGTGGGTTGGGGTGTGACTGTGAATAAGGTTTTGTATGGTTTGCTTGTTTTATGAACACCATAATTGCAATAAGATAAATACTCTCAAACCTTTATGAATCCATATAAATATCCATTTCAATAATATATTCAGTAAAAGTCACAACAACTTTCAATAGAAGCACTGAATATGTAATAGCAATTTCAAACAAATAGTAAAGCTTGGAGCATTATGCCCTAAATGCTAAATTGTCATTTTGGAAGTTGAAGGAAAACATAAACAGATTTTCTAGCCAGTTAATTTTTTAAATATTGGAATTTTCAACATAAGTCACAATTTCTGGATTTATGTTGGGAAAAAAACTCAGCAAGAAAAATATTGTCCATATTTCTAGAGACCCTGCTATTGAAAGTCTCAATCTCAGGGCCAGCCCTGTGGCTTGGTGGTTAAGTGTGCGCTCTGCAATGCTGGTGGCCCGGGTTCGGATCCCGGGTGCGCATCAAGGCACCACTTCTCCGTCCATCCTGAGGCCGAGTCCCCCATGCAGCAACTAGAAGGATGTGCAGCTATGACATACAACTATCTACTGGGGCTTTGGGGGGAAAAAATAAAATAAATAAAATCTTTAAAAAAAAAAAAAGAAAGTCTCAATCTCAATGCATACAAAAATACTGTCACATTTTGCTATTAGTAAGCGTTCTTTCATTCTCCAATGGAACTCTGTAGTTATATGCATTAAACAAAATATGGAAGGAAAGAGAGGTGGAGAGGAGAGGAGAGGACAGGATAGGAAGGTAGGAGGCAGTCTCATGCTCTTCCCATATAGAGTCAACGTGGCATATGGGGCAACACAACCCTTGGCAAACTTTAGACCACAGACTGCATATTTTAGGAGTCCACTGAATTAAAATTTGTGGCTCCCAGATTTCAAAGGTGCACATGTATAAGTTTTCTGGAAATTACCAAAGGCAGAGAAAATACTGCCTCACAGTAACATCATAAGTATAGAAAATAATTAGTACTTTCAGGCAGCAGGGATTGGAAGAGCAAATTTTCTCTAAATTCTCCACGAAACTCACCTAAAATTTCAGGATACAGTGAAGGAATTCCAAGGCAGAAAACCACACCAAATTCTAAGGTTTCACATTCTCATACTGCATCATTCTAGAATGTTCTAGAATGTTCTAGAATTCTGGCCTTGACCTTTGCTGGAAATCCTATTCTGCATTTTTAGACCAGAACCAATAATTGAGAGTTGTACGTAAATCTGGCTTTCATAAAAGAGAAGTCATTGCTGTATTCAAAGTCTTTACAGCAGATTTTCTTTTGTGGGACTCGCCAAAGGAGGAAAGGAACTTCCTCAGGTCTGTGAGCCATCAACAAATGAGTGACATTTGTGGGGTTTACTGGCCATGCTGAAAGAAAACTGGAATGAAAGTCAGGGAATCATGTTCACATCCTGGCTCTGTCACTAAAACCCTATTTGTATATAGGATGCATTTTCCCCCATCCAAAAGACAATGCAAAAATTGCCCCATATCCTTTAGATACAAAATAGTGAATGATGTCACCTCTAGTGGTGAAATGAGGAAACATAAAATACAACAGCAAAGATAAGAGTTTCACATCATAATGGTAGTTTCCTTAACAAAAATAACCACAGGCCACCCAAATGATCAAAAGGAAAGTATGGCTTACTACCCTAACATTTTAGATTTAAATTTGTTACTACCATCACGGTACTGCATACCAGTATTGATTGATATCTATATATTTCTTTGTAGTGCTGAGATTGGCATATAGTTTTTCAGGGTAAGACTTTTTCTGCTGATATAGAATATACAGTATCCTACTGGATTCCAATATATACCTATTTGCACTAATAAAATATTTTTCATTTTACACTTTCAGATCACTGTCTATGTATGATGAAAAGTATTTAATATTTCTGTTTCCAAAAATTTCTCTGTAAAACAGGATGCATTTTATACATACCTGTATATCTTATAGAACAGCAATTATAGTGGGTGTTTGTTTCTTTGTGTTACAATTTCCTTATTTGCCCAATGAAGACGATATGGGCCCCTACTAAGTTCACTAGGCTGTTGCAAACATCAAGGAGATCATTTATGCACGAGTTTTTTGAGATAAATAAAGCATTAATGCAAAATGCCCTTATACTGATACCAGCTATGTGAGCAACTAGGGATTAAGTCAGATCCCTTTGGGAAATAGAATACAGAACTTCCTCTACTGTAGCTAGGTGATAAGACATGCCTGGTTCCTTGGCTAACAGCTGGGTAACCCTAGAGAAGAAAAAAAATTAGAGACCTTCCTAAGGCTGGTGGGAAGCCGAATTTCCTTGCCAACAGAATTGGCTGAACTATTTATTTTGTACACATTAAATTCGAAGTGGGCCTTTAATTTCCACCAAGCGCCCAAGAGTTTAAAGAAGAGAGAAGGCCACACCTACTGATGATGTAAGAGAGAAAATGTTTTTGCCTGTGGGCAAACAGAAAATCACATCTCTTTGCTAAACACACTCCTTAGGTTTAACACAATTACTGAATTTCCTGTCAGAAGCTATGGCTGCATAGACATTTCTTGAGATTTAGTCTTCCACCAATCTAAACAATTTCTCTTAAAAAATATCCTCAGACATCCTTCATCCTTTAACACTGCCCAATTAGCTGAAATCTGAATGCTTTTCCCAGATGTATTTTAAATAAAGCACTGTAAACATAATCATTTTGTCTAAATTTTTAGTATTACGTAAAAATCTCAGCATAGGGCCAGCTTTAACTCAGACTACCTGTTTTAGATATGTGTTGCAATGGAAAAGACAACCATCAAATAAATATAAAAGTGGGGGAAAAAAAGGCTGGAAGGAACTACATTAAAATAATCTTTTTTACTAGTTGATAGGATTATGGCTAATCTAATCCTGATTTTGGTCCACTGACCTATAATCCCTACAAGCTACAAAAATTTGTTTATTTGTTTTACAACAAGCACGTATTACTTTTATAACAAGGACATAGGGGAGTCAATTGCATAGAAAGAGTCTCGGGAATGCTAGATAAATATACCACGTCAGATGCCATTGACCTTGTCTCAGACACTTAACAGGAATTGGAAGGCTCACAAAAGTTCTTTTTCACAGCTAGCTCAACCTGCTTGAACAATGTTAAATGAGTAATAATATAATTTTTTAAAAAACAGAGAGATAAATAGCATCTTAGAAAACATTAAAGCATATTTCCTTTTAGGGACAACTAATTTAGCAACATTTGACAATGCTTTTTAAACTCAATTGTCATATAGCACCATTAAATAATCACACAAAAGAGATCCAGGTGGCTTAAAGATGAATATTTCCTCCTTCATGAGATGCTTAATTGACTTGCAACAATACGAAATGTTCAGCGCATCTGGTTGGGGCCGACCCGGACGATGACGTGTTTCTCATAAGCCCTTTTCATTGTTTTCTCAATTTGCTTCAGAAAAACTTGTGGGATTCGTCCACATAAAGTGTGCACAGTCTCCAGAAACTTCAGCTGAAGAGGGTAATACATGGATTGAAAGAGATTGTCTTGAAAGGGAAACTGAAAGATAATTAAAAAAAAAAGAAAGAAAAAGTTTATTTTAGTGACTGAAATGCCATTTAAAATGCAAATAACTTTTACTAAGAAATGAAACAGGGAATTACTGTAAGCAGGCAGGCACAGGTTTGTATGTACTTAGATATAGTGGAAAGGACCTCAGAAGACCGAGGTTCAAATCCTGATTCAACCCCAGGCAATCATTTACCCTCTCTGGGACTCAGTTTCCTTACCTCTAAAAAAAAATTATTTGGATCCTTAAAGTTCTTAAAATCTAAAAGCAAACTATATCTCCAAGGACAGAATTCTTCCTGAGTAGAAGCAAGACTCAAGGAGATACCTGAAATCTACTACAATAAAACACTGAATTCTTCATATTTTTTGCCTTTGTATCAATCTTAATGAAGAAACTTTAGAGCATGTGTATGGTAATCTCATGAAGTCCCAAGTTTAGCAATTACTAGTGAAATTTATCATCAATGAACATTATTTTAATAATTCAGATACCAAATACTGGATGTTGGTTTTTTTTCCCACTTAATATTGGGCTTTTTTTTTTTTTAATTCTCTTGCTTTCCCATGGAATGTGTCCATGTGCAGTATTTTCCAAAATAAATCTTTCAGATCACTTAGTTATGAGCATGTGTCAAAGTTTTATTACAATTTTGCAGAAAGAGAAAAGGCCTCTAGTAGGTCAAGTCAAAGATTCATTGTTGGCAAGGACATTTTACACAAAAAGATTAGAGAAAAAAGGAAGAACAGATTGGTGAAAGGTCCGTATACCCTTGCCTGACAGCAGAGTGGGTGGGTGTCTGGTTTCCTAGAATAAGCCTTAATCCCTTTAAAGTTCATCAGAAATATTACTTAAGTTTGTTTATCAGAAATGCGAATTTCTTCCCAGAAGGACATTATGCATTATGTAACGCAGACAGGTTCTGTCCGAGACCATGTTTGGGATACTTTTTCTTTCATAGCACAATATAGACTATCGATAAACCCTTTTTCACCAAAACAACTTCCACTAATTATGGAGCACAACCATACGTCAGGTGCTGTTTAAACACCATCATTTTGTTGAATTCTCACAATGCTTTTATGAGGTAGATAATATTATCTGCATTTCACAGATGAGGAAACTGAGGCCCAGAAAGGCAAGAGCACAGATTTAATGAGTAATTACCAGAAAGTGACAAAATTGGGACCTGAACCCAGGTCTGTCAATTCCCAAAGCCAAGCCCTGACCCATTACACTATGGTGCACAGCGCTGTGGAGAGTGGGGGAATACATCTTTCGTGATGGAGTCTGTCTATATTTACTCACGTTTCAGGATGGGGTTAGTGATATTCCTTATTGAAATGCTTGAGTAAAAATTGTCTTTTCAGACCCAACTGAGAAACATTATCGAGTGCATTAGGCAGAATCATTTATGAAACATTACTTGGCCCTCTTTCTGATCCCCCAGAAAACAAACAAGACGTGTTGTAACTCAAGAACCACAGTTGCTCAATTCCACACCAGAGCTGACAGATCACAAGAGAAACCCGAGAGCAGCTCTGATGTACGCATATCTGCTGCATACTTACTTAACCTCCATTGTATTCCTGAAGGGGTTTGCCTCTGGAGTCAGCGTTTGAATATCCAAACGTGATGCTATCACTAAGTACAGAACATGTTTTCAATGCAATTAAATCACCTGGCCTTTGAAAACCAACAGCAGGAAACGCAGGAGAAGAAAGAAGTGTTAGCTTATAGGCGTGCCAAACACTTTCCCTGCACAGAAGACAATTCTGGGAATTCCAGAGTTGGAATTCTCTGGGATTCTCCTTAGCAAAATGCACATTTTCATAACAAAAATATGTTACTGTGTTGCAGGATTCACCCTCTACCTCTACCTGCCAAAAGCCCACTCATGAAACCCTGAGGGTTCCTAGATCTTTAAGAAAAAAACCTCTAATAAAGTCTACATACTTTATGTCAGGGATCGGCAAACTGTTTCTGTAAAGGGCCGGATAGTAAATACGTCAGACTTTGTGGGCCATATGGTCCGTCACAGCTACTCATCTCTGCCATTGGAGCATGAAAGCAGCCACAGACGACACACAAATGAATGTTGTCACTGTGTCTCAGGAAGACTTTATGAATGCCAAAATTTGAATTTCATATAATTTTCTCATGTCGCGAAATATTCTTTTCATTTTTTCCCAATTATTTAAAAAACCGTTGTTAGTCCACATGTCTTACAAAAACAGGCAGCAAACCAGATTTGGCCCAAGTTTGCATCTCTGCTCTCTGTCTTGGAATTACCGTTTCAAAAGGGAAATCTCTGACAGCAACTGCTGCTGGTTCTCCCCTGCAATCTTAAGGTCAAAGGCAACGCAGAATGCAGCGTTTCCCAAAGCCTGGGATGCAAGGCACTGGTGGGCAGTACTTGACATGATTCAAGGTGATGAACCCCAAAGCAAGATTCTTTCAACTTTCCCATTCACTGCAAGAAGAGAGTTCACACATGTCTTTGACTCCTCCTAAGACTTGCTAATCAATCTCTTCAAGGTAGTGAGATGGGGGCACCCCGGCCTGAGGAGTCCAGCTCCAGACCAAAAGCCTAGGTGTGATCTTTCAGACTCAACCAAAGGCAGTCACAAGGCTGCCGCAGCAGACCCCTGGGGGCAGCTGCCCTCCCCACACCAGACTTGGCGCATGGGCAGTGCACTCTAGTTTTCTTGAGGGAGTTGCACTCAAGGACTCAGGCCCCACCTGGGCCTGCCAAACTCATACACATACCTGCCCTCCTAGTCTAGGCACCTGCATTTGGAGGCCGCCTTGCTGTGGGGGTACTTTCCCCTCCTCCCTCCTTCCCTTTTCCTTCCTCCTCCCTTGGCCCATGGTCCATAAATATGCAGGAGCCTTTGTCCCTGCTTCTGTGCTGCATCCACTTGACCTTTGCCCAGCACCCTTAAATGCAACATGGTGGGGTGGGGGGGGTGGGGGGTTGGGAGCTGGCAACCAGGCAACACACTTAGCTTGAGCTGAATAATATCATTATATTCTTATTGTCTTATCTTCACTCTAACTCCTTACCCTCTATTATGGCAAATGGCACAGGGTTTCTCTGATATGAAATTTCCTCCTTAAGTCAATTTACTTAAAGAAAAATAATGAGTGACTTACTGTCTTGGAAATATTAAATAAAGAGTGGGTAAAGTATAGTAATGGGGCAAGTGGATATAGTGAAATGGAGTGACTGAGGGTGGAGAAAAGTGTACAACTCAATGCTTCTGGGGAATTATTTGGCCTTCAAAGGGACTGGTGACCGAAGCTCCTGTACTGATTCATGCTGAAAAGCACTTGTCTGCAGAACGGTGGCAAGAACACACTTACATCCCGTATTGCTTCATAGAGTGCTTTGAAAGTTGGCTGCTTATCGTCATGGTAGACGCCTCGGTTCCCATGCAGAACAGACACACCTTCACGTTCAGCTTCTTTGCAGTTGCTTCCGTACATGCAGTGATCGGGACGGTAGTTCCACTGGCAGGGGAACACATAGAGACACTCTAGTGGTGACAAGAAAAAGACATGTGTCCACAGTCAGTGCCAGCTCTCCTCTGCACTCCTGGCGATTAAAGCAATGTTTCCATGAACTGCATACCGCACATGATTTAAATGCACACAAGTGTGATTGTGACTCATAGACCACATTTGTGGATATTCTGAGATCGGGAATTGAAGGGGCACACAGTAGTGGTGTTGTAGGTTTCACCCCCAAAAAGGAGGGCCGTATAGCATCATGGACAAGAAGGCAAACAAGGGCAGCAAGCAGCCTGGGTCTGAGAAACCACATTATTGCAAGGCATCAGTGTCACTCTCTCACTCAAAAACAGTGCCACCTAGGTCCAGTGACTTACCCTCCCTGAGCTTCAGTTTCCTCATCTGTGAGATGGGAATAACAGGACCTCCCTCTTATTTTGATGATTAAATTTTAAAAACACAAGTTAAATGCTTAGCAGAGTGCCAAGCATACAGTGGTGGTCAATGGTGTCAGCAATTATAATCAACTCTTTGGAAAGGTTTTGTGAAATGGACAGACACGAAAAATAGGAGCCAAGACTGAAGCAAAGTTTCCTCTTTGGATCAAAAACCAACCAACAAACAAAAACAAAACAAAGGAAACAAACAAACAAACAAAAAACTACAACAGAAAGGTAAAAAACCCAAAGAAGAAAGCAAAACAAACAAAAAAAAGTCCCTATGCCAAGGTGACTACTATATACACTGTCGGTGAGCATGTGCACATACGTGTACTTGTGTGTGTTTGTATCTCCAATCCAGTGGTTCTTAGCCGGGGTGATGTTACCCCACTCCCCTGGGGCCATTTGGCAATGTTTGGAGGCAGACATTGGTTGTCATACATGGGGGAGGCTGCTACTGTCATCTGGTGGGAAGAGACCAGGGATGCTCTAAACATCCCACAATGATCAGGACAGCCCCCACAACAGTGTAGTGCCAACGTCGAGAAACTCGGCTCTAATCCCGTTGGACTCAGAGAATTTCCTCTTGGTGACTAGGATTATTAAATTAGCAATAAGTTCATGACCCTCGAACTTTCTGGCTCCTCAGCTTGATGCCTTTAAGGGCCAGGGCTAGAGGAGTAGGGATCAAAGTTCTCTGCGAATGTGTGTCACTGATCATGAGAAAGGCCCTGTGTGAGAGCACAGAAGGATTCGAGCAAATCAATTACCACTGTCAGAACAACAACTTAGGAATGTACTTGTTGGTTGGGTTGACGGCATTTGCTGCTCATGGAAAGGACCCCTGCTTAGAGGTTACTTACAGAAAGCTTCAAGATGGAAAGCAAAGGATGAAGAGATCATTACACATACCCTCTGGCAGACCGTGTATAATATTTCTACTGTTCAGTCTTTACAGGCCATAGCGACATTCTGGCACCCTCTATCGAATTCCTAATTGTTCATAACACACTATGACATTTTCCTTTTCTTGGGAGAACTCCATTCCACCACGATGTTTCTCTTCCCTGCATCTACCTCCACACTTGCACAAACATAATCCATAGCTGGGAGAGAGTAGTGCTCATCCTGAAGTCACACTATCCAGATTTGAACCCCAACTCCTCTATTAGCTGTGTGACTTTTCTGCATTTTAGTGCAGAGGGTGGATGTGAGGATTACATGAGTGAAAATATCTAAAAGTGCTTTTGCACCGTGCCTGACCCCAGTCCAGTTGCTGCCTTTTGTAACTCCATGGGTCACATCACTCATTTATGACGCCTGCCTGGGCATTTATTTGCATTTGCAATCCCGGCTTAAGCACCTGCTAACGTTCACTGCTGAATGAATTGCCAGAGAACCCATCTCTGTTTTTGCAAATACAACAATTGAATCAACAAATATTTATTAAGTGCCTGCTTTGTGCACTGTGGACAAAGCAAAGTCTGGTTCCTGCCTTCATGGAGTTTAAGATTGGTGATGAAGGTTTTTGCCTCTTCCCAAGTAGCGTAGGACCCCACTACAAAAGGAAACGTTCTCTCTCTTTGCAGCCTCCTTAGAGGGCCGAGCCGGGAGAGGCACTCTAAGGAGGAAGATAAAATAGAAAGGCTTTGGAATCAGACGTAGGTTCAAAGTTGGCCTCTATTATCCCCTAGCTCTGTAATCTTGTGTGCCACTGAAACCTTTGACCTCAATTTATAAGCAGTAAAGAGAAGCTAAATTATCCAGATTTGAATCCCAGCGTTACCATGTGTTAGCTGTGACCCAATAGCAGAGTGGCTAAGAGAGCGAGCTCTGGAGTCAACCTGCTAGGTTTGAATACAGAACTGTCACTAGTTGCACAAACTCAAGCAAATGACATAATTTATCTGGGCCTCAGATTCATCATCTGTAAGAGGGAGGAGAATTGTAAATATCGCTTCTCCAATAGGATTTTGGGGAGTGTTAAACGAGATCATATATATAAATACTTGGAACAGTGCCTGCCTGGCACACAGAAAGCACACCATAAATGTAAGCTGTAACGATTACTATTATCATTGTCATAACAAGAACTATTGCATTAGGTTGTTGGAAGGATAAAACAAGATAATTTAAATTGAACAAGTGTAGCATAGTTCTTGACACATAGTACACTAGTGATAAATGTTTTACCCCAATGGCTTCTAGACACGCAAGTGGCCAGTCATTCTTAACCTTTTATGGGTCACAGATCTCTCTGAGAATCTAATGAAAGCTTTAGACCCTGTCTTTGGAAAATTCAGCTGGGAATATTTGCTTACAAATTTAGGGGTTTATAGATAAGACCAGCTAAGATCCCCAGCTGTTGAATGTCAAATATGAAATTGGATTCCAGACAGAATTCAATTCATATCTTCGCACTCCCTTCAGAATTTTCCAGAGGAAGAAATGCAAAATACATTGAGCATATAATTGAAACAAGTGTTCATTCACCACATTATTGTAAGGCATCGGTGTCACTGGATGAAAAGACATTGCTCCTGCCCTCAGGGAATTTATACCCTTGAAAGAGATAATATATATTCTTGTCAAAGTGGACGTGTTTTACCAGGGCTCATAGAACGGAGGACATTTCAGTCAAGTTTCATTTAAACTTAGACTTATAGTAAGGATGGATTTTGACAGTTAGACACAGAGGCCTGGAATAACATTCGAGGAGGAGAAAATGGCCTGATCACAGTGAAAGGTTTGGAAATCAGTGTGTTTTAGGAAAGATAAGCCATTTAATTTTACTGGGGCAAATTTGATTTCTTCAAAAGGGTAAGATAATGGTAGAAAGTTGTTATGTAAATAGACTGCTTTGATCTAAAATATTCAAGAAATATCAATCTATATTAGGTTGCAAGTAACCAACTTTGATTCTAGCTTGTGAAACAAACAAACAAAAAAGAATGTTTTCTTTGAGAAGAAGAGCTTATAAAGTCAGAGGCAAAGCTGAATTGGGGCAGAAGTGGGGCAGCTCTTGCAGTCTGGGGGTGGGGACTAAGCAATGTCAGCTTTTCAGCATTGCTGCCAGGATGAACCAGGCTCCACTACTCTCTCCTCTTGGATTCCCAGACTCCAGACCATTCCTCAGGTTCCCAGGAGATGGTCTGACTGGTTTAGCGGGAGTCAGGGGCGGGCAGGGCTCTAAGACTGCATGCAATGCGGGAAGAGTAATTCACCTGAGAACACTGGGGTGCTGTTGCCACAAGAGAGGGAAATCAAGAGTGGGCAGTTAAAATAACAGATGTGTCTTTTTGCTCAGACAAATTTTGCGTGGGTTACACTTTGAAATCTCCATTTGGTTAACAGGGGAAGGAGGAGAAGGAGAGAGGCTGAACTAGCATCGTGGGGTGAGCTTAGGATGGAAAACCTATGTAGATCAGCTGATGAACATGTAGAGTGGACTAATCACGGTTACTTGGCACATGATCAATACCTCTCCTGAAATGGATCTATTTTAAGCAAGATTATCAAGGCTGTCAAAATCTGATGTTTAAAAATGACAGCATGGTGAAATGTTCAGGTTATTTTCCCGCTGCTGAGGAAATAATACAGTGAATGGTTCTAAAATTCCCAGTCCCTAAAGCCTCAAACCAATGCGACTTATTAAAAAATTTTTTTTCAAGCCAACCTCTCTTCAAACCCTGGGTCTTTGCTACATTTCTCTCCATTTTACATAGATAAAGAAGCTCATGAACTGATTATCTCCAGGTCTGAAACCCCTTAGTGATCCTTTCAGGAGCCCACATTTATTTCCAGAGCCTTGCAACCACTAGCAAAGTACTGTGTGAATTGATTGCTTCTTACATTTCTGATAATTTCATACTCTTGGGGTCTCTGAGATTACTGAATAGCTCATGTCTGATCATTTTAACTTCCCGGAGAAACAGGCTTGCTACTCATTTGCTACACTGTATCAACAGAACGGAGAGTGTTTGCTGTTTTTTGTTTTGTTTTATAATGTCTCATTCTGGAATTGAGCTTTCCCAGCCTCCTCTTCTTCCTTCTTCCAGAATGTACTTTGTTGCAAAAAATGGCAAATAATTCTTCCAAGAAGACTTACTTCCCTGATCCCACAATCTAAAGAAGCAATCCTCTCCCGCCAGCCTTGATAGTCTCTTTCTCAACTCATTTGTTTCCTTCACAGTATTTATCATAATTTGTGATTTTGAATGACTAGTTGCTATTCTTTGGAAATCTACCTCTTCCAGTAAAAGATAGGTTTCGTGAAAACAGGACCTCTACACAGAGGTCTGTCTGTCCTGCGGCTGGCACACAACAGGTGCTCAAAAAATGCCTGCTGAAGGAAGGAGTGAATGAAACCTTATACCCTCCTCGACCATGTGTATCTTTCTCCTTTCTCTTGCTTTCTCCCTCTCCTTTCTCTCTCCACTTCCCTGTCCTCTCACCTTCCTCATTGTGGTTTTTCTCTTCCATTTACTTCCCTCTTTCCTCTCCATTCTCTTAATTCCATCCATTCAACCAACCACCGCTTTTAAGGCCCTGAGCATTGCACTGTAAGTACTTAATGGAAGACAAAAAGTAGACACAACCCCTTCTCACAAGGACCCTACAGTCTCCATTCTTGCACTTTATATCAGAGATCATGGACTTCCCAGACTCCCAAAACAATTTGTCACCAGTTTTCCAAAACAGTCCTAATACCAAATAACTGGGCCTGTCAATTACACAACACGCTCATAACTGTCAGTTGCTGGGTGCTTTTGGTGGAGTGAGTATACAGTGTGTTTGCACACTCAGGGGCAGAGCTCCGGTGGTCCCGGGCAGGATGAGAACAAGGCCCTGATGGGGCCACTGAAGGGGCTTGTTCCATGTGACTGTGTGTCCTGCTCCCTGTGGCCCCAGCAAACCCTCTTAACTCCCTAGTGTCACATTCAATTCACAGACAATCTATGTATATTCCATGGGCATTTCAGCTCTTCTCTCTGCCTGTGGTCAGAAGACTACTGCTTCTACTCTGGCTGGATGCCCAGTCTTGTCATCTATACTTGGCTGGTTTCATTTCCTTCCCTGCCCACAGCCCACTTTTCTAGAAACTGCCCCTGAAGAAGGGACAGACTCAGGCGGTCATGTTTGAGAGAGGAAAATGCCACATGACCTTGCTCCTCTGACCCCAGATGACTGGATTGAGGATGATTTCCCCATCCAAAGAGAACTGATTCATAGCTGGGCTGGGCCATTCTCTCTCTTGTTTTCTTTAAGAATTTGAATTAGGAAACATAGGAAACCTATCATTATTGAAATGAGCTTGTAAGGTTGTGTTGACCTGGGACGGCCATGTGCAAACAGAGGATGCTGTCTGAGAGACAGAATGGAATCAGACAGCCATGGAGAGGAGCAAAGATGACAGAGACCACGGGACCTCTGAAGGATGGAGAAATCCAGCGCTAGTTCTCACGAGGTCTGGCGTGATCCGATCCATGCGTTCATGGGAATGCCCCCTGGTCCCTTACTTAGCTGGCCTGAGTGGAGTTTTGTTCCCTGCCACCTAAGCATGCTAACCAAAGCACATCTTTCTACACAGCATTCTCTTTTGGCCCTTGTCAAGTTTACCCTTTCTATAGAACTCTGCTCTTGACTCAAACTCACCTGTAAAGATGTGAGCTCAGTCTTCCACCCCTTGAGGAAGCTGCCTTGGCTCACCCGCCAGGATACATCCTGTGGGATGAGCTACCTGCATGCTCCCCATGGGCTTTCACTGTTTCCACTTGAGTCAGTCTGTTACCTAGCACTGCAATTACACACCCACAGGCGTTTACTACCTAATTATAGCAAGAGTTTGAAAACATTTTTCAGCTAATGACTTTTAAACACATTTTAAATAGCAGTGTTACTGGCAATCAGAGGCTATAACAATAATAATAACATTCCAGACATGTGCTCAAGTTTTATGGGCATTGCTTCATCCATGGCAACCCAAAGGACCAGAACAATAACCATGTTTATTTCCTGTGTCGGTGGGGCCCTTCTTTTTCCCTCTCTCCTTTCCAGGGATGAAAGTGACAAATCTTTTTTTCAAATACAGTTTGTTCTGGTTTATAGAAAGTGCTCACAATCAATACAAACAAAGAAAAAGCTTACAACGAGATGGGTATCACTAGATTTCAGTTCAAAGATCTCGTGTTTAATAAAGTATGAAATAGGAAGATCAAATGCAGGCCACACAAAGAACAATCTAGGAGTTACCTAATACTCACGGATCTGAAGCTGGGAAACTTGATTATTTACTTGATACTGCTCGGAACCAGGATTTAGAACAACTTCATAATTATTTTATAATATTCTTGTACTCAACGGATCTAAGATGGGGGAGGGTCGAAGGCATTAAACTCAGCTGGTTTCCAGCTCCAATTAAAGCAAGGGGCTCATGTCTAATCGCAAAGCTGCTATGACTGCCTTCGAGTATTATTTACTCACTGGTCACGTCCTCAAATAATCTGCAACAGACTAAGAGGATTTCTGGGAAGGCAACTGCGCAAATCTTTTGAATTCCTCAGTTTGGGAATATGGACAGATAGGCTTGTGGAAGATAGTTTCAGCCACACAACAGAGAGGAAAAATGCAATATTAAAGGACAGAAATAAGGCAGCAAAGAGATACACTTTGGGATATCTGCTCTGCTCTCTAGGATCTCCCCTCTCTGAGAACTTCCCCTCTCCCCAAAATACACGGGGCTGGAGTTGGAGTGGCCTGGGTTTTTACCCCTGCTCTGGCACTCATTAGCTTTGCAGCAAATTATTTAACTCTCTTCTCCTTGGCAGCATTGTCTGTAAAACGGGGATTATATTCTCAGGGTTGTTGTGAGGATTAAATACAATAATGCTTAGAACAGCATCTGGCACTTAGTAAGTAATAAACGCTAGCCATTATTCCTTAGCTTCATGCTTGTCGCCTAGCTGACCCATGCTGGAACCATCCAATTTCTCCCCTGGGAACTTGGAATTGGGATGAAGTTAGTCTTTGTGTGTGGCTGGACCTGGAGTATGAAACGTCAGTACTTTGCTTTAAGGCCTGAGGAGCAGAGAATGAGTCGACAAAGAGAAGAAAAAACAGCCTCAGCGGGAGAAAGAAAGTCCAACCTGGGTTCCTCATCATTCTCCCTTTCCTGCTTCAGCTCCTGGGCAGAGCCCGCTGGCCCTTTTGCCCTTGGTTTCCATGGGACACCAGTTTGCTTATAAAAGAGTATCCTTTATGCTTAGACTAAACCCGGGGGTCTTTTATTTGCAGCCAAGAGTCCTGACTAATACATCTACACCTAGAAACAAGATGAAACCTGTGTAAGAAGAAAAAGGAGGAGGTGCAGACTTTAAATTTCCTGTTGCCATCAGAGTGAAATGGATTAAAACATGCCACAAGTCAATGGCCAAGACGTTCCCTTCATCTAATGAATTACTATTGGGAATCTTTCCCAGAAACTCTCTATCAACCTGCTTTTTTTCTTTTCCAGGATTTGTTTCTTTTTCATCCAAAGGCATATGAGATTAGGTTTTATTTCAGAATTTTGTTAAAAAACAAATAAAGGTCCATGGGAGGTGCTTCCAGGGTGACACGCAATCATAGGCAGAAGTCTTTATAAACAGGAGTCTCTATTTCAGGATTTTTAGAGACAAAGGAAAGGCCCGCATAGGTTGGGGTGAGGAGTGATTTTTTTTCCTCAAAGATCTTTCTCATGGAGAAAACATGGTTTTCACTTTAATGGTATTAAGTAAGGTGTCAGCAAAGAAGAAAGAAAAGAAGGAAATTTTATTAGCTTTAGGTGTCAATCTAAAAACACAGACCAGAAATTTTCATCTTCCTCCCTCACTCAGCCCCATCAAATCATTGACTTAACAATATAAGAAGAATTTCTCTTGCCCCAGATGAAAAGAAAAAGGGATTGGGGAATCTGAGTCCTCAATGTAGGCTCTTAACCCTGAACAAGTCACTGAACTGTAAGGATCTCAAGAATCAATTCCCTTCAATCTAGCCATTGTTCAGGCGATGGAGGAGGGCCTCATGCCTAGATTATAATGTTTTCATTTAGTTCTGTGCCTCCCATTAATTTTGACTGTACTTCTTAGAAGAATGGTGCAGCAAAATCTAAAAGATATTCTTGAAAAATGGAATCCAGTGTTGGAGGTTTCAACATTTGGCCTTTTGTGTCAGCAGCAGAAGGACCCGGCCCCGTGAAATTCCCAGGGGGGCGGATGAAAGGGCGCACTTCCCAGGGGAACACAGGCACAATTCAAGCTTCGTCAATAGCAGACCAGGCTGGAATGAGCTCTGTGGGGCGAGGTGGGCGTCCTCCCACACAAACGGCATTCTCGAAAGAGAACCTACCTGGATTGAAATAAAAAATAATATTTAATAAATCCTGGTCTCCCCACGTGATGGCATTCTTGTACTTCTGGTACAGAGGGTATAACATGTCCTCCCAAGGCAAGCCTGTTGGAATCATGCTGTTCTGGAAAAGAGAAAACCATCAGGGCAGCTGAGGCAGAGCAAATACATCTTGTCCGTCCGCTGAGAAACAATGTAGAGACTGGTTCTCCCCACCCGCTGGGAATGAAGCAAATAGAGGAGGGGTCCTGCTGGCTGCAAGGCAGAGGACAAAGCAAAACTAGGACTGTAGATTGCAGGATTCTGCCAGATGTACACATGGATACCAGACGGACCAGGAACTGGTAATTGGGACTACGGTTTCTCCTTAGAAACACATGCCCCAAATTCCACCTCTTCTTTACGCTTAATTCTTGCCTCCGAAGTGAAGGAATAAAATACAGATAGCAGAATTAAGGCATCTTAAGGAAAAAACACCCTTTCTTTGTCTTAAAATAATTATTTGCCTTTAAAATAAAAGCAACACAGTCATAGACTATTCAAACAGCATACAAAGATCTAAAATAAAAAAGTAAAAATATTCTTCCTCCATTCTCCTATCCTTCCCATTCCCACTTTCCCTAGAAGTATCCACAGTGAACAATTAATGGTCTCTTAGGTATTTTTCCGGAAATTTCTAAGGCATAAAAGGGATCACACTCTACGGTATCATGCTTTGTTGCATTTTAATTTTTTCACTTAATATTTTTTAGAGATCTTACTTATCCCACTTACAGATTTACCTAATTCTTTTTAATAGGAAGATAATTTTTTTTTGACTAGTTCTCTACTGATGTTCATTTAGGTTCTTTCCAATTAAAAGATGAGGCCATGAACAGCCTTGTACAAACATCTCTGTGTACATATGTAAATATATTCCTCAGGCAATTCCAAGAAATTTTCCATGGTTTTTGAAATCTTGCATACACACAGAGTTTGAACATTATGGAATTCAGAAATACAACATAATATTCCCGAACGGTAACTCTGCTGAAGCATTAAATTCCATAATCACCTGGGCTTTCCTGAACAAACAAATATGTCATAACTTTCCAAATACTTTTCTTTTCCCTCATTCCTTCTATCCTCACCTATAAGCCACCAACTTCCAAAATCAGCATAATGACACTCTAGGAATGTCACTGTTGAAAAGACAAAGTCTTGATTTTTAAACAAGGAAGTATAAAATACTTCCTTACCTTGAACTGGGCACTTCTTATACGAGTTAAATTCATCAGCATGACTCCGGAATTAACTCCTGCAGAGCCATAGAAAGGGTGCCGAGCAAAGCGGCTGTACCAGCCAATCTTGGGGATTTCATGCTCCGGGGCCATGGCTGCAAGCTGGGTGGAATTAAATTGCCTCAGAAGCTTCCAGATGTCATCCACAGGTCTCAGAAAGAGAACGTCAGTGTCCACGTAGAGAAGGGAGTCCACATCCTTTAAAATCACCTTTGTGTGTATTAGGGGAAGAGGGAGAAAACAAAAGCAAGTTAGAAACAAAGAAAATGGCCTGATATATCGATGATGCCACCAATTTCATTGTTTAATGTTGGATTATAGAAAGGGTACCACTCTTAGCTCCCATTTCAACCTTTTCCTTTGACTCGAGGGATAAGTGTCAATCAAGGGGTGGAGACTCAAAGGAAGACAAATCTTGATCTAGATTGGCCCGATTGTGGGATCCTGGACTATATTTGGTAGGGGTCGAACTTTCAAAGGAATGAAAACATCAGCAAATTACTGTGGCTCTCTCTTCTACTTCCATCCTCCACCAATGCCATCTGTCTTTCTCAGTTTTTTTCTTGGAACAGCTAGGTCTAGTATTAGATAACTTCAAGTGGACAATCTCTAGACCAGTTTATGCCAGGCCTCGGGGGTAAATACTGTCTCTGGATCCATTTCTTCTAGTGTTGATGGGTATGGCTCTGCATCTTTTTGAAATGATATTTTTAGCTAAGATTTGACCTGGGGAATAGGCAAAGCAAGTCACTGGCCAGCTTTGTTTGCAGATCAGGGATCGGCAAACTTTTTCTCTAAAGGGCCGGACAGTAAATATTTCAGGCTGTGTTGCAACTACTCAACTCTGCTGTTGTAGTAATGGAGGCAGGCATCAAAAATATATAAACAAATGAACGAGACTATGTTTCAATAAAACTTTATTTAGGGAGACTAAAATTTGAATTTCATATAATTTTCAGATGTCATAACATCTTCTTTTGATTTTTTTCAACCATTTGAAATATAAAAGCCATTCTTGGCTCATGTGCTACGGTTTGCTGACCTCTGTTGTAGATCATTCAAGCCAGCCACCTTAAGCAAATGAGTTCTCCTGTGGTAATTGCCTAGCTTACCAGAGTCTTGCCCTGGGGTTTGAGACTTGAATGCCTTAGTTAGTAATAGTGTTACTTGCACAGTTCTGCCTTGGTTCCCCAAATTTAGGGGCAGTGTAACCAAGGAAGGATTTGAATTTTCCTGGATCCCTTGCCTAACATCATCCTGACACCACAACAACACTTGTTATGGCCTAAATATCTGTGTCCTTCCAAAATTCATATGTTGAGGCCCAAGCCCCACTGTGACGGTGTTTGGAGATAGGGTCTTTGGGAAGTAATTAGGGTAAGATAAAGTCATGAGGGTGGAGGCCTCCTGATGGGACTGTGTTCTTATCAGAGACATCAGAGACTTAGCTGTTCCAAGAAAAAACTAAGACAGACAGATGGCCTTATTGGAGGATAGAAGAAGAAGACAGAGCCACAGTAATTAGCTGATGTTTTCATTCCTTTGAAAGTTCATCCTCTACCAGAGAGCTTGCTCTCTCTCTCCATCATGTGAAGACACAACAAGAAGGCAGCCGTCTGTAAGCCAGGAAGAGGGCTCCCATCAGAACCCGACCACGCTGACTCCCTCATCTCAGACTTCCAGCCTCCAGAACTATAAAAAAATAAATTTCTGGGGCCGGCCCCGTGGCTTGGTGGTTAAGTGAGTGCGCTCCACTGCTGGCAACCCGGGTTCGGATCCCGGGCTCGCACCAACGTGCTGCTTCTCTGGCCATGCTGAGGCCGCGTCCCACATACAGCAACTAGAAGGATGTGCAGCTATGACACACAACTATCTACTGGGGCTTTG